ATTATTATTATTATTATTATTATTATTATTATTCTCAAAGTATTTCTCAGTTCTTATAAGTTGATCAAAATTATTTATAAATTATTTTGAACTTATAAATTAGTTGATAACATGTATGTTTGGAAAAAGCGTTAGTGTTAGCATTTCAAAAAAATTTAAAAAGGATATACAACGACATCGTTTAACTTAAGCATTTTAAAGTCTATCTACGCAATTTAAATGTTATTAAAACGCTAACAACTAATCGAAAATATTGATCCCAAACATTGCCAATGAGTTCATCTGCGCTTATAAGTTAAGTTGACTTATTAGTTGCTTATAAGATTTAAAAAGTAGTAAGTTCGCCTAGATAGTTTTAAGCTATGTGTTTTCTCTGGATTGACCAAATCATTTACAAAAAAATCTCTTTCCTTATCTCTCACCTAAGTCACTCAACAAAAAATATTTCAATAAGAAGCCTATAATTAAAACTTATTTATCAGATATAAACCAATAAGTATCAACAGAGAGAAACTCTCCTTATATATATGTTTCATGTGATATGTAGAGTAACCTATTATGATCCAAGTCACGAATTCATATAGGGAGTAAAGAAATCGCTTGAAATAAGAGCAAAACATAGTTTTTATCCCCAAAATAGGAACTCTATGTTTTTTTCATAAAAAAGTTTGCTTTTTGACAATATGACATTATATATTGGCATTATATCTCTATTTGTTTGGTATTAGATGTTGATACTATTGACATTTTAACTTCTATTTAAAACATAAAAACAGAGAACTTCTATTATAATTGGTACTTTTCTTATATTTTACTCTTGGTTTAATTTTCTCCCCTAGGAAGTATAAACTTAAGTTCTATGAGAGACATTGTTCTTGGCAAATTATTAATGGGATTAAGTTTCAATGAAATGAAATTACAGAGTATTTTTTATGGTGTATATTGTTAGACAAAAGTGCAACTCTAGAGGGGGGGGGGGGGTGAATAAAGTTGTTTGCTAGAATGTGCGTAAATCGCGTGTGTGATAATTAAATTTTCGATTATCGATTGAATTTAATCATCCTGTTTGTCATTCATCAAAAAAAATATTCCAAAATAATAAAAGTGTTTGAACTCATGTCCAACAATTTCCCCCTTTTTGATAATGACAAACATAGTTGAGAAAAAGCAAAGTGTGAGTTCAGGAAATACTTCTCTTAAATTGATTCCCCCTGCAAGGTTAGAGAAGTGCAGTAAAGATAATCGGAGTAATAAGCGGAAAAACGATTTTGAAAACCAAGTTTTCTTAACTATCCTTCCTTCCCCCTTTTGGCATTATCAACCGATATGCTTCCCCCTTAAACAATGCCGGGATATTGAAGGATAGTAAAAAACATTGCAAGAGTTTTCTTTAAAAGAGAACTACTAGTAAAAAATGACACAAAGGGACAATACGTTCTAAAAAAGAACACTATTGCCAAACCAACAATGATATAAATACACAATCATAATCTACATCATCAATGAACAACAATAACTATCATCATTAAAGTAACATCATCATCCACCAAAAGAGTCATAATAACAATAACATTTAACAATGTATTATAAATAAGTTATCACATAAAGAGAGAGAGAAATCAAAGTGAGCTCGACGGCCGGGATCCACCACTGCAATTGTGACGCGGTCCGAGATATGGTCGTCGCTCTATCTCCGTCATCCGCTGCTCAAGCCGTGAGAGACGATGGCCTTGCATGGTCACTTCTATGTGAGTGTGCGCCACATCCGTGCGAGTACAAGTCACGGCGTCTAAAATCCGTTGAAGGATGGAATGATCAGCGCGACGCGATGAAGTAAAGCGTGACACTCGAGTAGGAGAGGAACACCGAGTCGATTCCACTTGAGCTACTTCTTGGACATGCGCCGGTTCGCCCTCCGGGTCATGTTCTTCTTCGCCCTCTTCTTCTCCTTCTTCCGCCGCACTACAAAAAAAGAGGGAAGTAGCGACAGATCCTTAGCGACAGAAACATTATTTGTCGCTAAAAAGAGAATATTAGCGACAGATAAATTTATTTGAAGGCAAAAATTATTTGACCCACAGAAAGAGTAATATCTGTCGCTATTAGTTATAGTTTTAGCAACAAACTTTTATCTGTCGGTATTGCTTATAGTTTTAGCGACAAAACTTTATCTGTCAGTATTGTTTATAGTATTAGTAACAAAAAATTTATCTGTCGGTATTGTTTATAGTATTAGCAACAAAAATTTATATGTCGATATTGTTTATAGTTTTAGCAACAACGTTTTATCTATCAGTATTGATTTAATTGAAATTTAATTTAAATATCTTAATTACAAAAAACTATTCCGTATAAAACTATGCATCATTTAGCACACGAAATTGAGGTCATGAAATTGTAAATGAAAAACCTCAATTTAAATTTGGTCGCACAAAAATACATGACATTAAAAATGAATTATTAATTTAAAAGATAAAAACTAAAAAATAAACATAAAAAATTATTTTTTTACATTGAATATTTACAAATTAAAAATTATAGTTTTAATTTGCAGATTTTTTAAGTTATAAGTTAAAATTAAAGGACTGAACTGAACGAATAGAATCAAGACATATGATAAAAGAGCAAATCAACAAATAAAAAATGTGATGATGAAAATGATTTTGGTAATTAGCAAATACTCCGTACTAGTATATTAGTAAAATGGGAGCCAATTTACAATATTGAGAAATTTTAATGTTATAGAGGAGGAAGGCAGTTAGGGCAGACGAGGGGAACGAGACGCGGAATCGGATCAGGGGCTGGAGACGCGAGCGGAGAACGACGACGCAGCAGAGCAACCGGCGACGACTTTTTCTTCAACCACAACTGCCGGCGGTTGGCTGGCTTCTTCGATCAGCATCTGGACACAGAGCAGAGCCGGCGGTTGGCCTTCATCGTCGATCGGCTAGCAGCGAGGCATGGAGGTCCGATTCCGAACTCAGTGATTCCGGACGGGTCGTTGTCGTGTCCGGTTCAGTTCCTGTGCCATGAAAACTCGAACAGTTTGTCGTATAGCATGATTCCCTCACGGCCGCTCAAGCTCACCATTCCCAAATTAGACGGATCTTTTTTAGGTATTCGTCGAATATGATTTATGTTTTCTCAATCAATCAATTTGTGGATGAATGTGAGATTGGCTTGTTTGTAGATATTGATGTTTTTTTTTTTTTTGAGTTTGTGATTTTGGGGATAGAGATTGAAGTGCCTGGGAATGGATGGTGGCGGCTCTGAAGAAGGCAGTGGAGGCCGCTTTTAGTCATTTACCTTGCAAGGTATCATGGTATGTATATAAGGGTCTCAATAAGCATTGTGTTACCAGCTCATTTACCATGAATTTGATTGGTAACTGGCATTGTGTTACTAGCTCAATTAGGGATGATGTCTATTCCTTTTGGTTAAATTACTTGAATTTGTTAGGTTAAGGTTGAATATTGCTAACTTCAATTAGGGAAAATTGTCTACCCCTATTGGTAAACTTTTTTGAATTTGATTTGGTTAATGACTGGATTTGCTTACATCAATTATGACACATTGTTTATCCATGTTGGTGAGATTGCTTAAAATTGATTTGGTTAATGACTGGACATTGCTTACATTGATCACAGCCCATCATCCCATTTGGTGAACTTTCTTGAATGTGATTGATCCTTGGCAGAATAATGTTAACATTGTTTAAGAGACATTGTTTATCCGTGTTGGTGAAATTTCCTTAATGGTATGTTTGGGAACATGGATTTGGATTTCAAATCCGGATTTGGCTTAAATTCCATGTTTGGGAAACTTGAGCATTTTGAATTTGGATTTAAATCAAATTCTTTACATTCAAAATCAAGCTTAATTTGAAATCCATGCACCTCCCCTTGTCATTTGAAATTCAAGATTTCAAATTTTGGAATTGAAATGCATGAATTGAAATGAAATGCTAGTTGCCAAACACTACCTAATTTCATTGGCTATTGGAGTGGTAGTAAGTAGCAACATGTGTTAGGGGTTTATGGCACTTTAATAAGAGAGTTATTTGATTCTTGGCCCCTAAGTTCTTCCATACGTTCATTCCACTATATTTTTGGATTAGAAATCTAAGTTTAAACATTAAAGCAATGGTTAGTCTCTATTTATCATTGCTAGCTACCCATATTTTATTTTATTTTTGTTTAGTTTATTATATAGTTTAAAGTTATGCCACCTAGCATGAGTGTAAGGTAAATTTGGTGCAAAATTTGTGATTACGTTATCATGTGCTTATAATTTTTTTGCATAGACTTCAACGGCTAATCAATCTGAAATCGATGATCTTACAATTGATGGTAATACAACCACTGAGAAAAGTCATGATGAAGATCGATGGAACAAAGATGATGAAGCTAAAAGCGATGAACTTGAAGATGTAGATAGTGACGAGCATTAAAGCTTTGGATGATATCTTCCATATCAATGTGTATTTTAATTTAGTTCACTTTGACTATTAATACTTTAGCTTAAAACGTACGCAAATGATGAACTAATTTTGAGATGTTGGTTTACTTTCTAGTAAATGGGTTAGTTGTAACCCTTTGAAATGTTATCATATTATGTATTGTTGTTGATACAAGTATGAGTATTATTTTTTATTTGTCAATGAAATTCTTTGATATCACTTAAATAGAAGATGGTGGTGTGAAACATGGTATTAGTAATAGTTATAATAAATGTTAGTATTGGTCAAAATAACTTATTACCTATAGAAAAAAAATGTATTTCTCACACAATTTTTTGTGGGTAATTCAACTTTTAGTGACAGTTATAATAAATGTTAATGTTGGTAAAATTAAGGTATTACCGACAGAAGAGGATTTGACCCTCACTATTTTTTTTCGGTAATCCATGTTTTAGCGACATATATATTTTGTCGGTACTTCTTTCTTTTTAGTGACATCTTTGGTCTGTCGCTATTACATTATTTTAGTGACATTATATTTTATCTGTCGGTAATACTTTTACTGACGGAGTTTTTAGCGACAGCCTAGCGACAGACAATTATCTGTCGGTAAAAGTGAGTAGCGACAGATATTCAGCCTTTAGCGACATATCGACCCCTGTCGGTGTTGCCTCCTTTTTTTGTAGTTCTTCTTCTCCTTCTTCTTGCACGGCCCTTGGTACATTAGAGCGGTTGAAGGTCGCGACATCGATGTACCACGTGTGGTTCTTTTGGACATGGATGTCTTTTAAAGGCACCTCAAAAGCTCTGAAAATGTTCATGATCGGGAACACATACCCAAGAGACACTTTTGACTTCATGAGAAGAAGGTTATTGCAAAAGAATTTTGCCCAATTGATTTTAATATTGTTCAAAAACACGAAGAGAAGACGAGTGTCCGATGAAAGTATTTTGGAATGGCTCGACTTACGAGGAGCTAATACTTTCGAAATGAAGTAATGAAGAATTCGAAAATGAGGCTTAAGACCTCCAACGGTTAGGCGTTCAAGCCCAAGAACTTCTTCAAGGCACACCTCGGTAATGGAAGGTTTTGAAATCCTTAGATGTGAACTTGTGGAAATCACATCCCTCAAAAGAAAATTTGAAAAGACATATATATTATAAGCTAGTATTTTATTAAAATTTTGGTTCATTTTTTGTTTCTTGTTACTATTATGTCTCTATTATTATTACAAATTTCACAAACTTACTATTTATAGTTTAAATTCTTATTTTAAAATTATTCTAGACTACTTATTTTTTTTTATGGAAGTTCACAAATAGTAAGATTGTGATCATCGTGTTTGTGATCGAAACATTTGTAAGTTCGTGGGGGCGCAGCAGAAATCACCAAATTAAGAGCTACGCAAACAAATCAACGAGCTGTGCTGCAGAGAAGATACTGCAGCACTGTCACCGTAACAGATGACACAGTGTGCTATAACGAGCAAACAAATCGGCCTTCTCTCGACAAAATACGAGTTTCTCCTTCGACATAGTCTTGGTCAACATATCCGAGCAATTCTCACTTGCGTGAATCTTCACAAGTTCTAAAGACTTGTCCTCCACGGCTTCTCAAATCCAATGATACATTCTCTAAATGTGTTTGGTTTGAGAATGAAAGGCGGCATTCTTGGCAAGGTGGATGGCACTTTGAGAATCACAATGAAGAAGATAATTTTCTTGTTCCAAACCAAGTTGCTCAAGAAAATTCCTCATCCATAACAACTCCTTCCTTGCCTCAAGAGCTGCTATATACTCTGCCTCAGTAGTGGATAAAGCAACACACTTCTACAATCTTGATTGCCATGAAACTTCAGCTCCAGCAAATGTGATTAAGTATCCCGAGGTAGACTTTGCAGTATCAACATCTCTAGACATATCTGCATCTGTGTACCCATCTAACACAGGTTGTCCAATACCAAAACATAAACAAACTTTGGAGGTACCTCTAAGATATCTGAGAATCCATTTCACGGCTGCCCAGTGCTCTTTACCTGGATTCGACATGTAGCAACTAACAACCCCAACTGAATGTGCAATTTCTAGCCTCGTACATACCATGGCATACATCAAACTATCCACGGCTGAAGCATAAGGCACCTTGTTCATCTCTTGCTTTTCTTTCTCACTTGTAGGGCAATGGTCCATACTCAACTTCATATGACCTGCAAGTGGAGAGCTCACGGGTTTAGCATTGCTCATGTTGAATCTACCAAGCACCTTCTTAATGTATCTCTCTTGGGATAGCCAAAGTTTCTTGTTCTTTCTATCCCGCGTGATCCTCATGGCTAAAATCTCTTTAGCAGGGCTTAAGTCCTTCATTGCAAAGGACTTACTCAATGACTTCTTCAAGCTAGCAATCTTCTTGGTGTATTGGCGAACAATCAACATATCATCTACATATAAAAGAAGAATAAGAAAGTCACCTTCGGAGTAATTATTCACAAAGACACAATGATCAGCGTGTGTTTTGTGGAAGCCATGATCAATCATAAAGGACTCAAAGTTCTTATATCACTGCTGAGGCGCTTGCTTCAAACCATACAAAATTTTCTTGAAACGACATACTAAGTTCTCCTTTCCCTTAACCTAAAAGCCCTCAGGTTGTTCCATGTATATTTCCCTATCAAGGTCACCATGAAGAAATATTGTCTTCACATCAAGTTGCTCAATCTCCAAATCCATGCTAGCAGCTAAGCCAAGTATAACTCAAATAGAGGTCATCTTCACAACGTGAGAAAATATCTCATTAAAATCTATGCCCTTCTTCTGACTGAAACCCTTCACAACAAATCTTGCCTTGTACCTTGGTTGGGAGCTACTCTCATCATACTTCACTCTGTATACCCACTTGTTCTTGAGTGCTCTCTGGCCTTTAGGCAACTCAACAAGCTCATATGTGTGGTTCTCATGCAAGAACGTCATCTCATCTTGTATGGCATCATACCACTTCTCGCGGTGCACATGTGACATAGCCTCATCATATGTCTCTAGCTCCCCTCTATGAGTGACTAACATAAGATCATCCTCTAAAAGTCTCGTGGAAGATTTTCTCACTCTGGTGGATCTTCTAAACTGAGGTGGTGGTGACTCTGAATGTGGTTGTGACTCTGGAATATCATCACAACCGTACCATCACCATGATTATCAGCATCTTGATGGTCATCTACAGGATGCATATCTCCCCCATGATTTTGAGGGACTGCAACAGGATGAAGAGATGGAACTAGATCAACTGTGATGCATGGAGAAAGATTTGTCTGCTTCTTCTCACAATCCTCGATAGTCTGATCTTCAAAGAAAACCACATCTCTGCTTCTGATCACTTTCCTATCACGTGGATCCTGTAGTCTATACCCAAATTCTTCCTCTGAATACCCCAAAAATATGCACTCTTTGGTCTTCTTATCAAGCTTGGATCTCTCATCTCTGAGAATGTGAACAAATGCTCTAGAAGCTAAGACTCTCAAATGCTTATAGGAGATATCTTTCCCTGACCAAACTCTCTGAGGAACATCACCTTCAAGAGGAACTGAAGGGGAAAGGTTAATCAGGTACACGACAGTGAACGTTGCCTCCGCCCAAAAGGACTTTGACAGCTTAGCATGAGATAGCATACACCTGATTCTCTCTTCAATGGTTCTGTTCATCATCCTTTCTGCAACTCTATTAAGCTGAGGTTTCTTTGGAACTGTCTTCTCAAGCTTGATGACCTGACTTTTGCAATAGTACTCAAATGGACCCCTGTACTCACCACCATTGTCTGATCTAACACACTTGCGCTTTCTATTACTTTCTCTTTCAACTCTGGCATGAAACTCCTAAAAAGCTTCCAGTACCTGGTCTTTATTTTTCAAAACAAAAGCCCACACCTTTCTAGAAAAATCATCAATAAGAGTCACAAAATATTGTACACCACGATGTGATCTAGCATCCATAGAGCAAACATCAGTATGAACAAGATCTAAAGCATGTTTTCTTCTATGTGGGGGACGAGTATGAAATGCAACTCTATTTTGTTTTCTAGCCAAACAATCAACACAAGAGTTTAAAGGCATACCGGAAATGCATGTCGGGGAGATAATCTTTCCTGGAAAGGATCTGCATGCCCTTTTGACTCATGTGGCCAAGCCTCTTATGCCACAAATCACCGGAGGCATCATCTGCTACATTGGCATCTCCACTACATACTTTGGCCTGCATAACATAAAGTGAATTCTGCTTCTTACCTCGAGCCATAATCAAACTGCCCTGGGAGAGTTTCCATCTTCCATCACAAAATTGGTTAGCATAACCTTCATCATCAAGTAGACCAGCTGAAATCAAACTCAATCTGATATCTAGGACGTGCCTCACATCCCTGAGCACCAACCTGCAACCAGTGGAAGTCTCTAAACAAACATCACCCATACCGATGATCTTAGACGAACCACCATTTCCCATCCTCACGTGGCCAAAATCACCACTAGTATAGGATGAGAAGTACTCCCTATGTGAGGTAATATGATAAGATGCACCAAAATCAATCGCCCAGGTGCACTCATCATCACATGCTACGTTTAATAGTCCATGATCACTGATAACAAACAAATCTATTGGAATGTGTAAGTTCAACCCTTTCTCTGTTGTTAAGTCTTGACTCACAGGTTTTGATAATTGACAAACACAATTTATTCAAGACGAGATCAAAGTTGTTGGAACACGGGTTTACGCCTACGTCGTACGAAACTGTCTTCGTGTTTATGACAGGTTTTGATAATGCCAAACCGCCGTGACATAACAAGGCTAAAGAGAGCAAAACCAAGGCGAAGGAACATGGCATGATGATTTGAGAACCAAGAACCCATAATCAAGAACGAAGAATTAGAATTGTATTGAGTCGGTCTTAATGTGATCAAGACCGGCACAAACTTTCAAAATCTTGGCTCTCTAGAATTGTATTGAGTCGGTTTTTATGACTGGTTTTTTTCTGAGCATATTTAAATAGTTCTCCAACAAAAACGCTTCAAAAACCACCTCCCGTTTTAGGTCGTTTAGTGAAAACCATGCGAAACGGTGCAAACTTGGTTAGCCGTGGTTTTCAACTAAATGACGTGGTTTTTAAGATGTTTTACTTGATTTCTTAGCAAAATGCAATAAACAAATGTTTTCAATACTTGGTTTTTATTTTGGAGAACTTACGTTTTTGACATCGGCTAACGGCGTGACTAAACCAACCATGGGTCTGGCTAAACCAGCCCAACAGCAATGTTGGTGTAACCAACAGCGCTGTCTGGCTTGGGTAGCTAAAAACATGGTTTGGCGTTAAGTCTTCCAACAGCGATGTTGGACATTAGACATCGCTGTTGAGCCAAGGTTGGATTTCCAGAAACTTCTAGAACAGCGATGTAGGCTTCCCTACAGCGCTGTCCAACCTAAGCCAAAAATATAGTGCATTTGCAGAAAGTTTTTGGACAGCAATGTTGACCCAGCAACAGCGCTGTCAGGCCAAACTTCCATCTTCAAAGGCAGACCTAAACAGCGATGTTCTAGTATGGAACATCGATGTAGGGACCTGACCGTTGGAAGGAATTTAAGGCTAAAACTTTCCTTGTTTGGAAGTCAACAGCCAAAACAGCGATGTAGGGATTTTTGGACATCGCTGTTGGCAAGACCGTTGCTTCCCAATTTTCAAAACCCAAGCCTAGAACAGCGATGTCCAAGCCTAGGACATCGCTGTCGGGGTGAATTTCAGCAGATCCAAATTTTATCAAATCCCACAAATTGTGCCAATCACCCCTTAAATACTTTGGTCCGTTGGAGCCTTTTTTTCTACTATAAAATGGGGTGTTTGGGTCTGTTTTACATATCACATTACTTCCCAACTCCTATTCTTTCATTGCATATCCTTCATACATTATTCATAGCTTTTTGAGAGCCATTTTTGTGAAGCTTGTGTTGTGTTCTTGAGCGTTCTTAGTTACTCATTATCCACTCTAAAAGAGAGTATTGTTCTTGAGAGTTTTTAGTGTTCTTAGACACTTGAAAAGAGAAAGTATTTTCTCTTGTTGTTCGAAGGAAGGGTTGTTTCCTTCGAAGGTTCGTTGAGGTTCGTGTGACTCGAATTCTCAAGTTGTACGGGTTTGTTAAGCATCGTTAAGCTTAACGAGATAGTAGTGTAGCTCGAGAGAGTCTCTCGGGAAGCTGGATTAGCCACAAGTTGTGGTGAACCAGGGTAAAATCAGTGTGCCTCTTTCTTTTCTCCTTACTTCTCGTTTATTCATTTTTATTCCTGCGATTTCTTGATCAAACGCTATTCACGCCCCCCTCTAGCGTTGGTCTATTATTCTAAAAATTGGTATCAGAGCCTAACTCGCGTCCAAACTTAACCGTTTGAGAGTAAAGCGATCATGGGTTCTTCTTCTAGAAATCTCTATGCAGGAATTGGAGAAGGTCAATCAACTTCTAGGCCACCACTCTTTGATGGCACCAACTACTCCTATTGGAAGGAACGGATGAGAATCTATATTCGTTCCACCAACTTCCAATTATGGTTGGTCATCAAAAATGGAGAGCAAATCCCTATGAAGAAAGTAGGAGAAACCACCGTCCCAAAAACCGAGGACGAGTTTGATGCTGAGGACATCAAGAAGGTTGAAAACTACGCAAAAGCTATCAACATGCTTTACTGTGCGGTCAACCCCGATGACTACCGGAAAATCTCCTGCTGCACAACCGCCAAGGAGATGTGGGACAAGCTTGAAGTGACGTACGAAGGTACCGATCAAGTTCGTGAAGCCAAGATCGATTTTCTCACCCAAGAGTACAAAATGTTCCGAATGAAAGAAGGTGAGAAAATCGATGACATGTTCGACCGGTTCTCAAAGATCATAAACGACCTTCATGCTCTCAAAAAGACTTACGCCAACAAGGATCTCGTGAGGAAAATCCTGCGGAGTCTCACACCCGAATGGAGGTCAAAAGCCGATGCAATCTACGAGTCCATCGGAGTCTCCAATGTCACCATCGACGGACTAAGAGGTAACCTAAAAACTTATGAATCTACTATTCTAACGCCGTCTTTGGATGAACAAAAGAAGAAAGGAATAGCGCTCAAAGCAACCAAGGAGACCGTAGAGGAGGCTTCAAGCGATGATGACAACGAATTTGGACTTGTCATCAAAGAGTTCCACAAGTTCATGAAGAAGGAATTTGAGCGGAAGGGAAGGAAGCACGACGGTCCTCCCAAGTGCTACGGCTGTGGCGAGATTGGCCACATCAAGCCAAGGTGTCCAAAAGCCAAACACGGCAAGGATAAGCCCGGCTTCAAGAAGCAAAGGGCTTACATCTCTTGCGGTGGCGATTCCGGCGACAAATCAACCGACCACGAGGAGGACGAAGCTGCAAATCTCTGCCTCATGGCGCACGAAGATCAAAACGACGATGTCCAAGAGGTATGTACCATTTCGTCCGACTCTTATACTTTTGAAGAAATGCAAGAAGCACTTCATGAACTTTATGAGGAATTTGTTAGCGCTTCTAAAACAAATAAATCTTTGAAGAAACGCCTTTCTTTACTTGAAAACGATTTTGAAAAATTGGAAAAAGAAAATGAAATACTTAAACAAGAAAACAAATTTTTTTGGAAAAATAAGCGCTGACAAACCAGAAAGATCATCAAGTGAATGTGGGTCTTGTAAAGCTTTAAAAGAGCAAGTCGCTAAACTTGAGAGCACGGTCAAGAAATTTAATACTCCTCACAAAGACTTAAATTTACTTCTTGACACTATGCATTTTTCTAAGGTTCACCATAAGAAACCTAAAAATCAAGATAATATAAAACCTAGTCAACCTAAGGACACTAGACAACCTAGACTAAAACCTAGGAATGAAAATGGTCATGGTAGACAACCTAAGAAAAATGATTTTGTGCATAAAAACGAATTTTCTCAAATTAGGAGAAATAATGCTAGAACACCTAGAAAAGGCCAGTTTCAAAATTTTCAAAAACCATTGTTTTCACAAAATAGGAACAAAATGGTTAAACCCTCTAACTATTATGAACCTAGGCACATGTACAACCCCAACGTAGTTTGCCATTACTGTAATAGGATAGGCCATATTGCTCCCATTTGTTACACTAGGCATAGGCACCTATCACAAAATCAAGCACACTACCATCACACACCTAACACCCGAGGACCCAACGTAAATTGGGTACCTAAAACTCATTGATGTGTTTCATAGGTGTGCTTGAAGGCATCAAGTGTACTTTGGTACCTTGATAGCGGATGCTCCAAGCACATGACCGGGGATGCATCCAAGTTTCTCCAAATCAAACCCGCTAAAGGAGGAAACGTAGTTTTTGGAGATAATAGCAAGGGAAAGATTATCGGC